ATGTTTATGATAAGATAAAGAACAAATAGGAAACATTTATCCATATAACATTTTTCACTTTTATTAAATCTATCTATCTATCTATTTTATTTGCTTCACATCTATGTATATAAATCTGGTTATATATCGCCTTTTTCTATGAAAATCTGTTCATATCTTAAGTATTCATATCTATGATAGGATAAAGGAAACATTTTTTACATTTATTAAATCAATCAATCAATCTATCTAAACCTATCAATTAGTATATAAACCAAATCTCTTAGTATTTCTATCTAAATCTATCTATATATATTTATATATATATATATATATCTATCTATATATATATATATGCATATTTATATATATAGAGAGAGAGATATGTGTGTGTTTGTATGTGTGTGTGTGCGCGCGTTATTCTATCTGTACGTAGATATACTACATCGAAACAGTTCCAGTGAGCCGAACATGCAGCCTTGTCTGTTGTTACATACACGTATATACCGGCGCATACACGGGCCCATTTCATACTTATCTATTAGACAAAAAAAACCCATGTATATCACACAATGGCATTCACACACACAAAATCATTTACTTTTTCCCATTCATCTCTATTCTTCTGGTTCGTATCAAATTTGCAATTATGCGCAGAAAACTTTTCTTTCGTAACAAACTGGACGATACTACTTTTGTCAAAAGGCTTACTGGCCCAATATCTTCTCCGAAGAACAATTCTCAAGATAAGATATTCCAGTTAGAATTTCAGCCATTCCAGCTTTATGTCCATTCAAGGATCATTAATTTGAAGTCAGCAGATAATTTCGATTCCGTTTTTTGTTTGTTTATTCTTACAGTAATCATCGCTTTATAATGATCATCGCAAGGAAGCCACTTGAGGTAGAGGTTTACACAGTATGGCATTGTTCATGCAGAAATGTGGGGAGGATAAAGATCAACTCTAGACTTGAACAGCTTCAGTTGTAGTGATCAGGGCAGCGCCATATTCGTTGTCTGTTTTACAGAAAGGTTCGTGGGATGAATCTGTTCGATTTGAAACTTACGACTCACTCATAGGATACGAAGGGAATGAAGGTGATTCGCTACAATGTGCGTAACATGGTGGAAATAAGACATGAAGTTCGTCTGAAATAATACTACCATCAATAAAAAAATTCTTTTTTTGGCATTAAATAACCCATTGAGGTTGATATGTCGTAAAATAAATCAAACCAAACTAAACTTGACTTGAACAGGTTAAAATTGTAATGATCGGGACAGCATCCTTTTGGAAATCGGTTCCACAAAGAAGTGATTCCTGAAAGAAGCTGTTCGAGTGGGACTTACATCTCACCAATGGAATACAAAGCGAATGAGGGTGGTTCGTTACGTTTTCATGGCATGGTGGGTCTTAGCCCGGAAGGTAAGATGTGGTGGGTCTAAGGAATGTTGTTCGTCTGCGAACTTTCCATTAACGCATTAGACAGATATTAGTCAAAATATATTAGTACTTCATCAAAATAATAATAAGTAAAAAGTTAAGAATTCGGAAGCCATTTATATAAAAGTCAACAAGTATAGCAACAAAGTTCTTAAATGTTTGTAGCAGCAAAATGTTATATAAAAATACTACAACATTAAAATACTACAATTAAAAAAATCTTCTAATTAATAACATAAGTTACCTCCCTTGGATAGAGGTAAAATATATTTTGAAATTACAGTGATTTTTTAATTTAACGCATATCACATCCATAGATATTCAATATCTGATGATTAGTTGGGAAAATAAAAATTAACTGAAATAAAATTTTGGAATTTGGCTTCGTTATTTTCAGATCGGTAGGAATAGACAAAACTCTATGCAAGGAAAATGTGTTTAGGTTTGTGAAAAAATGTGCGGGCAATACATTGATTTACCTCATCAGATGCGACGACCAGAAAAATATCAAGGATGTCCCTGATATTGAAGACTTTTACCCCTAAATATAGTATGGTTTGAAACTATATTTTTAACCCAAACACATACGTGTATATGAAGTGGGGAATTTGTATATTATATGACAATTCCCTCTGCTGCAAGAAATTACGGCTAAACAAAGCAAATCGCCGGGATTTACAAGACTGATTTCGGATTGAGAGAAGCAGCTTCTCGGAAAAGCTCTTATCGTTTTATATATTATGTATTACTTATTAAATAGCGTTAATATAATGACCTGGAATACGTGGAGCGATAGGAACATTGAATGAAAAATGATACAAGCCAAAACACACACACGCACACACACACATATATATATATATATATATATATATATATATATATACAGTAGCGGCCATAATATAAAGAACGGAAACAACAAAGACATAAATATGTGTATTACTTAAAAAGTAATGCATGATTAGCAATGACATTTTTACGGAATAAAGATTAGGGTGTAATGCATAAATATTATACAAAGTTACAAAGATTTACATAATAGTTTTATTTTTAAATAAAGATTCAATGGAACAAAGGAAATAAGCTACTGGACAAAAGTTAAGGAACGATCTTCTTAATACTTGATTGTGAACAAAATATCAACAAAATTTAATATTTGGTAAACATCCTCTTATTTTCAATGACTTCTCTGCATCGTCGACCACATGATCTAATTAATTTCTTGCAAAAATCAGCAGTAATTCCCTCCCATTGGTCTTTCAATAACTCCCATAGGTGATCCTGGTTTTTTCGGGTTTCTTTTCAGAGCCCTTTCTCCAATTATCTTCCAAACATTTTCTATTGGATTCAGGTCGGGGCTCTGGACTGGCCACTTCATTAGGGCGATTCCTTCTTCTTCAAATAAAGCCATAACCTTCTGAGCCTTGTGGCAAGACGCATTGTTCTGCATGAAAATAGGAGATTCATAAAGATTATGGTGTAATCTTGGTACCACATGTTGCTGAAGAAGCCTTTTGTAAATCTCAGCATTGATATTGCTATGTACGCGGATGATAGGGCCAACTCCTGCAGATGAAATCATTCCCCACACCATCACACTGCCGCCACCAAACTTAACGGTTTTCTTGACACATTGAGAAAACAGTCTTTCACCAGTTCTACGGCGTACGTAAGTTTTGCTCTCAGAACCAAATATAGTAAACTTGGATTCGTCGCTGAAATGAACTGTATCCCATTGTGCGTCAGTCCAAACAACAACGTTCTCTCGCATACTCCACTTCTCCTTGCGATGTTTTTGGAGGTCTGCAGGTTTTTGGTTTTGCATCTAACGTTTTATCGGTTTTATACCTGCTAATTACACGATGAACGACACTTTTAGACCTATGAACAATATCAGAAATTTCTGAAATTGACTTTTTTTCTTGATAGCGATAATGAGTTTTTTCTTCAAAAGAGAGCGTTTTGCATGTAGAATTTGCCATATTGCTTAAAAATAAAGTCTTAATGATAAATGAACTTTTACTTATTGTTGAAAAGCTCCATCGAGTTTTTTAACAATGTAAATAAAATGTTTATGCAAATTATTAACATCGTTTCTTAACTTTTGTCCAGTAGCTTATTTCCTTTGTTCCATTTAAGCTTTATTAAAAGAAACCAAAAAAACTGTTATGTAAATTTTTGTAACTTTGTATAATATTTATGCATTACACCCTAATCTTTATTCCGTAAAAATTTCATTGCTAATCATGCATTACTTTTTAAGTAATACACATTTATATGTCTTTGTTGTTTCCGTTCCTTATATTATGGCCGCTACTGTATATATATATGTTCATATTTCTCAGTACCTGATGAATGGGAAAGCCATGAATCTCTGAGTTGTACTGCAAACCTAGGTATGTGTAATTATTAATATATACCTTATTGCTCTGTTTAACTACATTGAGCACTTTCTGTATACAGCAAATATTAAATGAATATTTATCTGCTCATCAGTACATGTACGTAATCGCACGCATATATGGTCGATCATATCTCTTTAATTAACACATTTTCACATTTATATCGGATCATTGCTAAAGTTCGTAACCGATTTTCACTGTTTTTAATTTTCTAATCGGGCACGGACTTTTTTAAAGATTAAATACAGATTGACAACAACATAATCTCTTTTATTCTCTGTTTCTATGAAGAAAATGGCATAAATAAAGTCAAAAGTTCTATATAACCATAAAAAGTGTTATAGATATATGGATGACGCATCGGATTGCGATAATATAAATTTAAATAATAAGTATAAATACTAATTAAATGCGGGAAATATTAAGAAAGAATAAAGCACATTACCACGTATGCATATATATATATATATATATATATATATATATATATATATATATATATATATATATATGTGTGTGTGTGTGTGTCTGTGTGTGTGTGCTAAGAATATGTATAAATTGGTGTGTGTATATATAAGTCTCTGATTGGTTAGAGAAGTATACAAATTGCATAAGGAGGTTGAGACGAAAAGACAATCTGTCAAACACTTACATATAATTAGCTAAGAGAATTGATACGCGCAACGTATAGATGTGCGATAGATAGATAGATAGATAGATAGATAGATAGATAGATAGATAGATAGATAGAACGACATAGATTTTTCGATAAGAAAAGAGAGCACGAAATTGGAACAAACATTTATACTTAAGAAACAAATTTAATATATCTACCTATTATTCTATCTATCTATCTTTCTACTGTATGGATGTATCTATCTATCTATCTACTGTATGTTTCTTTATTTCTTTCTTTATTTCTTTCTATCTATCTATCTATCTATCTATCTATCTATCTACTATTTTCTATCGATATATCTATCGCACTCTTTTTTTATCTATCTATCTATCTATCTATCTATCTATCTATCTATCTATCTATCTATCTACTGTATGTTCCTTTCTTTCAATCTACCTATCTATCTGCTATCTTCTATCGATCTATCTATCGCAAGTCATGTTTAACTATCGTAGTCTTTATCTATCTATCTATCTATCTATCTATCTATCTATCTGTCAGTCAGTTAATAAATGCTATTTGCTGCATCTTTGCCTGCTGCTTGTCTGACTGCCTGACTGCTCTCCCTACCCCAGGACTTGTCTTTTCAAATTTATCATTGAAGTACTGGAATCTGCATTTTTTTTTGTAGTAGCAGTAGAACCTGTTGTTTCCTACAACAATGCCGAGCTTGAATGGGACTGCAATTCAAAGTAAATAAAAGAAGAAGCAAGACACTTTTCAACCCACTTGAGAGTCGAAGAACGGAGTGGAGTTGTTGTGGTTCGATTTCAAACGCTTTTGTTTTCTCTTCTCTCGCCTTTGTTATCAGGTTCCCATTTCTTTACCCCCACACCTTCACCTCAAGAAGAAAAGGCAATCGTCGTTTATAAACCACACATATATTTTTCATACGTCTTCACTTTTGATACGTATATATATATATATATATATATAAAGAAGAAATATAGTCTTAAGATGTGTTATATTTATGGAATAAAGTGCTCAAAATCTGAGATAGAGCGTGTGTAAGTATAAAAGTGAATATAGAAGTCAACACTTAGAGGCGACAGTCTGTTTCATGCTAGATGCAATCGTCAGGCCACGAGTAAATATATAAAAAAATAAAAATAAAATAAAAACAAGCAAAATAATTTAACCCAAATAAATAAATAAACAACTTCCGGTAAAATAACCGCCAAAATAGACTCCCACAATGCACTACTGACCCGTATATATAATTAGCAGAGAAAATAACAGCACTTGTGGCCTGACGATTGCATCTAGCATGAAACAGACTGTCGCCTCTAAGTGTTGACTTCTATGCTCACTTATATATATATATATATATATATATATATATATATATATATATATATATATATACACATGCATACGGCTGCGATGTATAAATTGTCGTCTAAATTAGGCAAATATCTAAATAACGCTGACATCCCGTTTTAACAGATATACAGCGTGCGATGTGTAAACTGTCGCCTAAATGACGCAAAAATGAAAAAATCATTGACATCTCATTTTAACAGATATAATTACCAAAATTAAAGAAAATATATCTTGAAAGTCTAAGGAAAACGTTTATTCAATAAAATCGCCATTGGCTTCAACCATGCCTTCTAAACGTCTTCGGAATCTCCTGCAACTCTTCTTTGACAGTCTCCTTGTTTAAGTGCAGCCAAAATACTTGCATTAGGTTCAACTTTGGTCTTACACGTTATTATGTTAGCCTCTCTCTCAAGTGCAACACGTTCGTAATAATCAAGGGGCTTGCAGTCTGGAGAGTTAGGTAGCCAGATGTATGGGGTTATATTATGGAATCCTCCACATTTAACCAATCATCACTTTACTTTTCCAAACTCAATCCCCCATTGGTTAAAAGGACATTAAAATATAGCAAAGTTGAGACAAACCTTTTTCCCGCGCAGGTCTCTGGAGCCTATTTGGAAACTCGAAAATCTATAAAAGGAATCGCTCGACTTAATTCAAATTAGTCAGACACTGAGTTTCGAGAGATACCAGCAGACTCTACGCGTGCCAACACACGGACTCAATAAACACTACCAACCTCTCAACAACTCAACACAACTAGCACAACTATTGCCGCGTGAAGAAACTTAACTTACAATTTACTAAAAAGTGACATTATCACTACAAAACAGGAATTGTACATTCAATCAACTTTAGCTTATCAGTTAAAGGTGAACAACTCTTCATAACGTAAATCAACACTAGCAGTTGTCACACACATACACACTATCACTTGAACTTACACAATTGACAATTTTCCTTGCAGATATCAAACTATTTTAATTTCACAAACAAACTTAAAACTATTAACCTTTACTCAGTAAATTTCTGCATGGACAATCTTTGTAACCTTATCTCACTTGCCACATTTAACAAGCAAATTATTATCACTTTGTGTATGTCAAATATATATATATAAATTCACATTATTGTTGAAATCTCTAATGACGTTGTTTTCAGTAATTTTTTGAAGTTGAATTGTCTATTTATTTTTGTTTGATTTATTTGTTGTGGATAAATGCATTACGATCACGCACATTCTTGGCCTTCACAAAAAATCACCTTCTGATACATCTTACTCAGCATAGGTCCCGCAACAATATGATCGCAGGAATTATCTGGAGTCTCTTGCTTGTGTGACATGGTACTCTTGACTCAGGGCATCATTATCTCTTCAAGGTACTTTATATAGGTTTCTGGGTTGAGTCTGAGATCATGTAGGGAGATAAATGTTGGCATAACGTCACCCTAACTAGTGCTCCCTCCAAACACATTTGTAATCACCATTATACTCCTCCAACTCTTTCCAAAACTTCTGAATCGATGCCTAAGCACTCTGAAATATTCACAGTGGAGCTTTCGCCGCGAATTACAAGCCGTAAACCTTGATGTTTCTAAATGTCTGACGAATTGAATTGACTCATGGTGCTTTTTTACTCATAGACAGTGCCCAACTGACCCTGCTATTCTGTTCAGTCAACAAAATCCAAATCATGCGCGAGATTAAAATATAAAATCGCACAATTTTCCCAACGCACCCTGCATATGGAAAAATATTAACACTATTTTTTCATTAAGTATTATATATATATATATATATATATATATATATATATATATATATATATATATACAGACATGACAGAATTGAATAGACGCTCACAGAAACTGTTTATTTTATTAAACAAGTAATTTATACAAATGAAGTAATTATAAATGGTCATAAATTTAATAACTAATACTTGGTTGACATCCCTTTTGCTTTTTTTAATGCAAGGACCCTTCTAAGCATGCAAGCGATGAGTTCACGAATATCATCTTGAGGGACTTCTTGCCATGTTTGAATAAAAAATCCTAAATGTTTGGGCTTAGAAGATGGCTTCCTGTTCTTTTTGCGGAGTTTTCGATCTAATATGCCCCAAAGGTGTTCAATAGGGTTAATATCCGGGGACTGACTTAGCCATGGAAGTTTATTGAGCCCATTTTGTCTCAACCAATGTTGCGTTGCTTGAGCAGTGTGACATGGTGCTGCATCTTCCATAAATAGGGAGTCAACTTTTCTCATTCTACTACTTGAGAATATTGAAAGGAGCCCTTTCTTTAATATAGAAGCATATTTGGTTGAATTAATGTTTCCTTCACACTCCACAAGCTCTGAGCGACCATCACTCCAAATTGCACCCCATACCATTACTGAAAGGCCCAATTCTTTCTGCATTTGATATTGGCTGGACGGTGAAGTGGTTTCCTTCTTGCAGCTCTGCCATAGTAGCCCAGCTTGTGAAGATACCTGACAGCTGTTCTGGGACTGACATCAACTTGTGTTGCTATGTCAGAGGCCTTGCAACGTGGATACTGTTCAACATTTCTTTCGACAAGACGCATTGTTCTTTCAGAGGGCCCAGGGCGGCCTCGATGAGGTTTTGTGCACTTCTTGCCCTCTCTGGTGAATTGTACGATCACTCCATTAACAGTAGAAAGGGGTATTGCAAGATTTTCAGATATTTTTCTTTGACTAAGACCACCTTCATGTTGGCCCACGATACTTCCTCGCTGAAATTCGGATAGGTCTGAGGCTCCTTTGGTTCGTGCCATGTTACATTATTGTAATCTGCAATTTTAATCAAATAATCTAGGTTAATTTATCTTGGTTATTAAAAAAAAATAGGAATAAAATTTATCTTGGTGTCTATTCAATTCTGTCATGTCTATATATATATATATATATGAAGAAATTTTGAAAAAACAAACAAAAATCCTTAAATGTAGTTAAATGAAAAGAAATGTCGACGTCTGACGTTTCTTTATTAAACCCTTTTCAAGACAATATTCATCAAAATACAATTCAGTTCAATATGACAAATACGATGGACATAAAAATACAAGTCTTATTCAGAACAGATAACTATGAAATTTTAAAATGATCAGCCTTCCGTCTAACATGGTCAAGCTGTCGTCACATGTTTGTGTCAGGTATTCCTAAAACGTTTGTGACATTTTGACCATGTTAGATAAGGCTGATCATTTTAAAAATTTTCAGTTATCTGTTCTGAATAAGACTTGTGTTTTTATGTCCATCGTATTTTGTCATATTGAACTGAATTGTATTTTGATGAATATTGTCTTGAAAAATCGGTTTAATAAACCGAAAAACGTCAGACGTCGACATTTTTCTTTCATTTAACTACATTTAAGGATTTTGTTTGTTTTTTCAAAATTTCTTCATTCTGTCGGATTTATATCCATTTACACTTGCTTATATATATATATATATATATATATATATATATATATATATATATATATATTGATTTGATGTAGTCGTTCCTCTTGAAGTCAGTGGAAAACTTGAGGCCAAGAATGCGCAGTGTGTTGCTCTCCTGGAGCCTAGTGTCAAACTCGATGATGACAGACAAAATGTTGTCTATGATGTACAAATGAAAGCAGTTTTGTTTTAGTGAAAATTTTATGACATTTTTCGCCCCATTTAACGAAATATTAGAGGTCCTTTTCAAGAGCAGCTGCCATGTTTATTTTGCTATTGTGACATGAATAAATTGTAGTTGAGAACTGATTATATGGTGGGGATCAATGAAGAACAGAAAGAGGATAGGGCCCAGGATAGAGTCTTGGGGGTCTCCCGCGTTAGTTTGAAAGGACCAGGGATCGAGTCCGTTCAAAACGACCTTTATTTCACGATTGGATTAAACCAAATATTCGCCCTGTATCACCGTAGCCCTGGGGTTTGTGTACAATGCCTGCATGCCAAGACCTGTCGGACCATATTCGAGTTATCAGGAACATCAGCTCGAAGATCACCGTATTATCCAGAGCTTTTGATATACAAATTCAGTGACAGCTGTTAACCCAATCACTGTGAACCTTCCGAAACGGAAACTATAATGTTTGTCCGGTGGGTGGGGGAGTCCGTAAGAAGTAAGATGCCTAATCATTTCAGCATTGATTAGAACA